TCAGTTCTGACCATTAGGCAAACGTAACAGTGTGAAAAAAAAAATATTTTACTGCTTACTGTGTCAATTTTTTTAGTTTCAACTTCTCTGCGTAGCAAATCTCGCTAAAACCTTAAATCAGATCACGGTTTTTTCCAATTCAAATAAATATTTCAGAAGATATAAGACACATTATGTAATTTTGAGAAAAAGGGTAAATTAATATAATAGTGAAAATCATTTCTAAATGTTTAACTCTTCCGTACTAAATTACAGAAAACTATAAATAAATGTAATGAAGTTTCGACAATATTTATGAATTACAAATAAATGATAATACGGAATGTACAAAGCTGTTTTGTTTTTTTTTAAAGTAGATTTCTGAAATTCGAGAAACATTTGCCACTTATAAAATAATATCTATCCATGTTTAAGTAATTAAAACTTTATTTCGGTGCTACAAATTTCTGATTCGTGCACTACAAATATAAGTCTATATTCCCGAAAAATTGAATAGTTTGTTAGTTCTTAGTTATTTGGCAATGATTACTTCCAATTAGCAACAATAGAATATATATGTTGTATATCAAAATTGCATGTTTACAAGTTTATGTTCCGGGATATTTACTCCCATCTTCAGAACCACAACCCCAATGATCTTGTGGATACAAGGCTTAAAATGAATGTGCTCCATCATTCTAATTCATGTCATAATAATCTAGGTATATAACATCTAGAGCAACATCTTGCTTTTAGACTAATTATTGGGTGTCTGCCCTTGCTTACATGGAATTCTGATATACAACAAATATATTCGATTCTATTGTTGCTAATTGGAAGTAATCATTGCCAAATAACTAAGAATGTCATACAACTTCCCAGAAAAAAATAAAAGATGAATAGTTTGTTATTAACTGCTATTTGAGTTATAAAACTTTACAGTTTTATTATTGGAATATATTTATTATGGACAATGAGTCTCATTTTTAATTATTCTTTTTAATTCAAAACTTCTTTATGCGCATTTTGATCGTTTTTGTGGAGAATAAATTAGAGTGAGCCGTCAGATATCTCCGATGTGTAACACTAGGGTAAAGCTGGCTGAATCCGACAAATTGGAATGTTTTGCATATAGATAACAATATCTCAAAAACTGAAAATCGGACCTGCATAAGGTAAGCAAGAAATTCTTCAGCATTTCATCTTCTCTGTAATGGACTATAATTCAATATTGTATCTTAACATGACACTGTTTTAGAGAAGTGAAAAGGGGTGAAAATTTGTCGAAAACCAAATGATAACGAGTTTTATTGAATATATTGATTAAAATATCTCAAAACTAAAAATCGGACCTGCATACTGTAGGAAAGGGAATAGTTCATTATGTCATTCTCTGTTTTTTTATTTATTTTTTTTTACATATGTATGTTAATTATATTATTTTACTTTCTACAACTCTTATTCTTTTATATCTATTTTAGTGATCATTTGTATGTATATATTGTGTGAATGTTGAATGTAGCCCTAGTATTAAAGCCCTCCAATGTGCAGAATGTATTAATTTTCAAATTTAAAAAAAAATCATTTTCTCTGTAATGGGCTATTATTCAAAATTGTATCTTAACAAGAGGCTGTGTTAGAGAAGCTAAAAGGGAAAAAAGTGTCGAAAACCAAATAATATATGTTTTATTGAATTTATGGATTAAAATATCTCAGAAACTAAAAAGCAAACCTGCATAATATAAGCGCGGAAATTATTTAGCATTTCGTTCTCTATATAACGAGGTATTATTTGTAACTTATATTTCAAAATACTAATCCCACCTTGTTGGTGTTTTCATTTTTACTTTGTGTTCAAAAGGACACGCTTTAGTGTTCTTGTTTTTTTTTAGAACATTGATTGGTTTTTTAGAACATAAAAATAGAAACATATTTTTACTATTGTTTGTGTATTTTTTTAAAGAAATATTTCAGGAATCTAAATTTTTATTATTATAAAACATTTAAGAAGAAACTTTTTGCTACATACCAACCGAAAATAAGAAAAGCTTCTTAGTCCGAAACAGTCAGTTTTTATATTAGTGTCATTAATATTCATAATTTTATCAATGAGTCTATTATAAATACGGGAAAATTATCTTAATGAAATATTTCTTCACTAGAACACTGTATCGGATACAAGAGTAGCTCGGATGAATCTGAAGTTTGCTTTCGAAATCAGGCGGAACCATCTGGCCCGGCAGCTGCTGGCCTTCCAAGTTGTCTCAACTTACCCAGATAGGAATGGGCGAGGAAAACCAGGATGGAACTGGATTCTACAGGATGGATCCTGAAGAGCATTTTATTTATGAAACGCGTAGTAGGATTATATTACTGCTATAATCCTATATACTAGAATAACCTCAAATCTCAAAAAATTATACCTTTAATATTAAAAAAAGACATATTGAGCTAAAAAGCAGTCCATACTTATTTTCGTTTTCGAAATACAATCAATTATTTACGTTTCATCAGCTTGAGATATAGTGGAAAAATAATTATTAAAGACCTGGGCACTAATCAGCACCCTAGAAAAATGCATTGAAAGATTTGAAAGAAAAATCCTCGACACAATAATCGGGGTGATCTGGGATCAGAGTACTGACACGTGGACACGTGGAGAAGTAAGATAAAGAAATGACTGCTTACCAAAACTGGTCATTCAGAATACCATGACATGAGGTTACAACGGGCGGGGCATGTAGCCCCTAGAAATCAGAGATATATCAATTCGACAAAGATGCAATACAGCTGCTTACAGATAACTAGAAAGAAATAGCCCACAAACCATTTATGAAGTTTTACGGAAGTTAATAATTTAGTAAAAAGGGTTAGATTTAAAAAAAAATATGCAACAGTGCATCAGATTATTTTTAAATACTCGAAATATATATTCAAGGTTCATATTTGTACGCATTTATTTATTTTTTAATACAAATTTAATTAGATGAAAAAAAAACTTTGTTTAGCTACATCAGAAGCTACATAATGGCATTTGAAAATAAAGCTTCCAAATAATAAACTAAAAACATTCTTTAAATATCTAATTGAAACTAAACCCCGTCCTTAGGAATTGCCCTTACGAAGCGGAAGGAAGATCTAGCTAAAGAAGAATCATTAGCAAAGATAATGTCAGAGCCGAGATACACGCAACAGCTTATCTACCTTCCTGGGCCAGATCCTCTCTGGAACTAGATACTTCCACAGTGATTTAGTTTCTTTCTCCTACTTTGGTTTAATGAGGAAAGCTTTCCAGATTTAGGAAACGAATAACGACATATCATTCAATCGAAAATGTGTAGTGTTTTTGGAATTTATAATTTATATGATTGTTAATCATTATTTATATTTTACAGCTTTAAGGTGTAAAACTTCGAGTTCATCAAAGTCTGTGTTTTATTTTTTATTGTTTTATAAATTTATTGAAAAAAAAAAAATATATATATATATATATATATATATATATATATATATATATATATATATATTATGAAATGACGATAAAACCGGTAATTTTCTGTAGGACGGAGACTATGGGGTTTACCAATATGGAATTGTTACTTTGAAATATTGGAATGGAACAAAATGAAATATTCTGAGAATAATATACGGTCCGAGAAAGGTGGTGGGAGAACACCGGTTAAAAAAGAATTATGAGCTTTATGAACAGAATAAAAAGCTGGGATCATCGATGAGAAATGGGGTATAGGAAAAGAACGGCTTAGAATAGGCCAATCAAACAAATATTCGATGAAGTAATGGGGCACAACAACATAAAAGGTTGTTCGGAACAAATAAAAGAAGAAGTAAAAATAATGGTCATCAAAGAGGAAGACAATCAAGATAGGGATAAATTCAAGAAAATAGTGAGGTTAATAACCTTCAAAAAAATAAAGGTTATTTTAGATGAGAAGAAGTAGAGGCAAGGAAGTAAGAAACGGGCAGAGGAAAGAAAGATGGAGATGAAAGAAAAAATGAAAAGAATATGGGCAGAAAAGAAAAAAAATAACTAGAAATGAGAAATGGTCCGTCGTTTGCCTGTGCATCGCAAAAAGGAATAAATAAATAATATATATATTTACAACTTTTCCTTAATCATCCTTTGAGTATTAAATTTTAACATAATTATTTAATTGGGAATAATGCCACTTATTAATTATTCAATAAATTACTAAATGTCCATTGCTTCTGCGTTAACAATGGGATCCTCTTCAAAGCTAGAACAACAAATAGCTCAATCGATACACAATTATGCTTCTATTTGTTTCTAATAACAATTATTTCAATATTTTAACCTACTTTTAAAACAGAGCCTCGATACCTCAGGCCAAGGACACACCGACAGTCTCAGCACCTTCCACCAGCACATATATTAAGCTACTTTACATATATAATGTGTGTATATATATATATATACTTATATATACATAAGTGGGCTGGGCAGCCGTGCGGGCTAAGGTGCTTGGAATAGTTAACCAAGTTAAGCAAACGCCGAGCGTGGTTAGCACTTGGATATTTGACCGCCCGATATGGGTGACCGTCTACCAGGGAAAGCCACGCTGCCCTAGACTACTCCCCCCCCTTCGGTGTTGTAAGCCCCGTCAGCCTACTGGAAGCAACTCCACATCGACCGGGCGTAGGACACATGACTCCGTGTACACACCCGTGTACTTAAATCAGGAATCGGAATGTGGTCTAGAAGACCACAGGATCTCGCGGCCAAAGATCTACAAGGTCTGTAGCGCCAACAGAAAAAAAAAAAAAAAAAAAAAAATATATATATATATATATATATATATATATATATATATATATATATATATATATATATATATATTGTATGAATGTGGTCTTACCTCCCAATAATTATTTTCCAAGTGACAGAGTATTGTATTACTAAAGAAAAAAGTTTTAAAAATCATCGTAATTTTTTTTTTATTTCTACAAATTGTTTTAACTACTTTTCTTTATTGTTCTTTCAGGGTACAAAATGCTGTTACTTGGAGTGAGCAGGTGCTGGAAAAGGCTGGCAGTCAGTGGCCCCATCCAACAGTTGGGACAAGTGCCTCTGACCCTGAGGGCTGCGGCAACACCATCCAGGTTGTACACCACCCAGAATTTATTGGTGAGTTTAAAATTCAGCTTAAATAGTACTTTTTTCAATTTTTATATCACTCCAAGTTGATAAAATAATTGTTGAATTTGTTTTATGTTTATCCACTAGTCGCAATGAGAATTCAGTACCGGAAAATTCATTCGTAGATGTTATTCAAAGTTAAATTTATATTTGTTTCCCTTAAAGATATATTTACTCAAACTCAGACAGGACAACAATGACTTGGCCAATTGGTAATGATCAGTAAATATTTGTTTGTTTTCCAGTTTGAAAAAAAAAAAAAAAAAAAAAATAACCTCTGAGCAATTTGAACCTTTAATTTTATTTTTAAGAACTGTTATTAGTACACATAAAGCGACGAGAATGATTGAGGATAACTAACTATATAGTTGTTAACCATTTCAAGCAAAAAATTAAAAATATATAAACTTTGATTTAATGAAGTATAAATATTGACATTTATAAACTATTGATATTTATTGTAATTACTTATAATGCTAGGAGGTACTCTTTCCTTAATTTTTTTTTTTTTTTTTTTTTTTTTTTTGTAAATTCGTTCTTTACTAGTTTAACTCAATTTTTCACGATCGATTTTTATTATTCTTTCTTAAATATAAAATAAAATATTACACGGTCAATAAAAACATTTTTATTTAATGAAGTCCTCTTTTTATCAAATTATTAACATCCGCCTGAAATTTTGTAAATCGTTTCTTCTCACCGTAACCTACAAATATTTTATATATTAAAATTCTCGAAATTGTGGAATTTTCAATTCGGAGATTGGCAAACTTTGTCTATTTAATTAGGTACTAAAAACTCGTAAATACCCATTTGCTTTCCACTTGAATCGTAAGATAAGCTGAGCACAAAGTCAAGAAAAAAGGTGGCCTTCAAAAATATTGAACAGTTTGGCCTGTATAACCTCGTTATTTTGACCACTTGGTGGTGCAGGTCGCGCCAAACGGCTCAATATTTTCGAAGATCACTTTTTTTTTTACTTTGTGCTCAAGTTACCTGACGAATCATGTGGAAGGCAATTGGGTGATTACGAGTTTTTAGTACCTAATTAGATAGACATTTGCCGATTTCCAGATTGAAAACGCACCAATTCGGAGAATTTTCGTAAATAAAATATTTGTAAGTTACAATGAGAAGAAGCAATTTGCGAAGTTTCAGACGGATGTTAATGATTCGATAAAAAAGGGTCTGTACCACGAACTACAATATATTTTTTTATTATTTTATATTACGTAATTATAACTGAACAGCTGTTGTAAAAAAACTTTGTTAATAATCAATTCAGTTTACAGTTAAATCAAGTGGATAAATGTGATATATTACTGATAAATTACCGCTGATATCTGATTTCCTTCAGTTTTTTTAATGGTAGATAAAGTTGATGGAAAACTTTTGATGAAAAGTAAAATATACTGTACCCTTATCTATTATACTTAACTCTTCTACACTTCCAATTATTTTACATTTTATTGATTGAAGAACGTTGAGTCCAAAGAAATAAATAATAAATATTCCTATTTAATATGGGTGTCATAGCATTTTTACGAATTTCTATTTTTCAAGTAGTTTGCTACTTTTTTTTTATTGAAATTTAATTTTATTAAATTTTAACTAAATTTGTTTATTACGTCAAAATAATTAGTATTCGTATTTTCAATAAGCTTTTTAAAATTAACTTTTTTTTTGTATTCTAAATATTTTTAGTTGTTTTAATATGTCAGATATTGACTCTTTTAATGTTTTTTTTCAATTTTTCATGTCCTATGATCCTGATATTTTTAATCTAAATTGTGCTTTTCGTAACACTGTGTTGTCCCAATGCTACGATGTTGACTTAAATAGCTGAAATATGTTTTCAGTTATTTTTTTGCAAATTCTTGTAATGATTTATTAATGCGTTTTCCTAAAAAAAAAAAAACTTTTCACATCTACTTAAAAAAATATATATAAAGTCGATAAAGTATATTGAATGGCAAGAGATATAATTCACAATGACTAAACATATAAATTATATTATATAGGACGTAGATATTCAAAATTTCAGGAAATTGGAAGAGATATATTTTACTATTTTAATTTTTTTTTATATCGTATTATTATTTTGTTATCATGATTAGGAATACTCAATGCTTAGGATTTTTAATGTGTTATCTGATATTTACATAATTTCATAGCCGCAATAATATTTTACTCACTACTAAGCAATATTTGTTATTACTCTTTAAATATTAACATCGAAAAGTCATATTATCCATTTATACGAGTCAAATCGTTCACCATAAAAAAATTTATATCCATTACTTAATAAATCTCAATCATAAAAACGTAATTGTATCATAAATTATACTCCCCAATAAATCGTAAATTTATTTTATTTTGTTTCATCTTTACTCCATAAGGTAATGAGTAATTCTTTTACACTCTATTATAATATTTCGCTTCCTTTAGGTATTGAATCAAAATGGTGATTCTCCCTTTATTAAAAAGATCCAACTAAAACGATAAATCATAATTATAAAATTTATAATCAATTTTTTTTAATTGAACAATAATAAATTAAATATTAAATAAATTAAATCAAGTATCAAGTGTATGCTTACTCATTTCTTAACTACTGTTAATAAACAGTAGATCTTCAAAGTAAAAAAAAGTAAAATTAATTTAAAATATTCACAAACTAAATAAAATAAAAATAATTTTAAAAAAGAGTAAAATGATATATACGTTTCATGCAATATTTTTCCTTTAAAGATTTATAAAACATTGAAATGTTATAATATTTTTTGATCTTTAAAATATTTTCACAACTTTTCGAAACACTAAAAAATTTTTATTATGATAATTTTATAATAATGAAATTCATACTACTATTTTTTTTTTTAATTTGATTTAATTTTATCCGTTTATATTTACACTTGTATTTAAAGGTAAAACACCGATTAATTCAGACAATACATTAAAATCAGTCAGAAACTAACTTTTTTCTTCTTCTTAAGCTGAAGATTAGGAAAGAATTGACTTGATTTACACACAAAAAAAAAATAAAAATAACAGAACTTTTACAAATGTTTTAATAATATCAACAAGTTATTTTACATATTTGTAATGAAACACAACAGAGCTATATCAGCTTCTATTTAAAGGAAATTAAATTATTTTTCTATTTTGTTGTAGCTCCTTGTTGTACACGGACTTTAATGCAACAATCGACGTCCTATATGGTTTCTTACAAAAAAAAATTAATAATCACGATTCAGAAAAAAATTCTTTCTTTTAGAACGAAAAGAAAGTTTTTCGAAATAAAGAGGCCAAACTGAAAATATGAATTAAGAACCTCGAAACAATAAAAACAACTTCCTATGAAGGTATGTCCGCAATCGCTTTGTTTAGGAGATATTCACACCTAATGATTTTCTTTGCTATGAATTAATTACGTTATATGAAATAAATAATACTTATTTATTTATTCCAACTACTTTACTAATGAAACGTAAACATTAAATTCATATTAAATGTTATTCAAAGTGATTTCCTTAAGCATTAAGACAGGCTCGGCATCTTTCTTCAACATCAGAAATGGCAGAACGGCACTGGATAGTGGAAGGCATAATGGTAAGGAGTTCTCTACGAAAGCCTCTTACAAACTGATAAATGTTATTGAGAGTTCTCAATGCTCGTTCTAATAGTATCAATCCTCATATTGCCAATAATTCTTTATACAGTTAGAGAAAAAAGACCGTATTAGTATTCTATCTAATCCATCTCGTAAACAAAGCGTTTGCGGACATACCTTCACTTTGAACAACATGTAATATCAACGTTAATGTTTACATTTAATTAGTAAAGTATTTAGAACTAATATACAGGTTTTATTTATTTCATATAACGTAAATAATTCATAACAACCAAAATCTTTAGGTGTGAATATCTCCTAAACAAACGTTTGCGGACAGATCTTCAGAGGATATTTTTTTCTTGTTTTGAGGTCCTGAGTTCATTTTACCAGTTTGGCCACTTAACTCTGAAACAATCTGAGCATCCATATTTATAAATAATATGTGTTTTAGTTGCTGTAGTGTGGAAAAAGTGAAACTATATGTGAATTTGTGTTTGTGTATATATTGCAAGAACAATGCCTGTTTAGGGGGTGTAACAAAAATATGATAATAGAATTATAAACTTAATTTTTTTATTATCTTATCTAACCATTATTTGTGGTATCCACATATTGTGTTAGAACTGGTGAAACCGGATGATTTGGTATTTTCATTGGATTCTATTTCTGTAAGGTCTTGTACTTTATCTTTCTTTACTGAGGCCATTGGAACCATACCCTATGTGGGTTCTTTTTTACGATAACTTCTTGCTTCCTCTATTGAAAGCCTGCCCACAAACTTTTACTGAAAACATCCCTTCACTATTAACCCAATATTATCGAAACGTACTCCATTGATTAATGAAATCTAAAAGAAATATTGTAAATTAATAACAACAAATTTTCATTTATTTATCTGCATTTAAGTATTGCTTTTATTATTTATTTCTTAGAAAAATCTTTTTCTAAATTTTTCTTTAGTAATCTAAAATATTTTAAATAACATATTTAATAACATCAACTGACTTATAATAAAGATAAAAGATTAAAAAAATTTTGTATTAGATTCTGACATTAATTAAATTCACAACCCTTCTATTTATGATCCCAGAAAAAAAAATGTATGTATGTTTTTTATAAAAGAAATAGCGGTGAAATATTCTTGAAGTCTACCTAATTCAAATAGGTCGAAAAGTATTTTTTGTATTTATTTCATATTGGTTCAACTTGTCTTGTAATAAAATACTTATAATTATTCAGATTGTAATTTAACAAATCATATTGATTAGGAGAGATGGATGGGGTTTATATTTAAGCCAACTGTCAAAAATGAAAAGGCTTCCACATTACCTTTTTGTAAAGATGTTGAGGTAGATTACCTGGTCTTTTGTGG